ACGTGATCACGCCCCTACTTTGCCTCGTGGCATCTGCTATAAAATAATGGGCGCTGGCGCTGTCTCCTCATCAGGGAGCAGCGTCCCACAGAGACCCAGCTTTCATTCTCTTGTCTGTCTTTTCTCAATCCTTTCACCACCACCCCCCCACCCCCCACTCAGGGTCACTGAACCAGGCTGAGCTGGCATGGCACATAAGGCGCCCTGGGGCTGAGTATGCCCTGGGGCTGAGTATGCCATGGCCGTGCCAGCTCCCCACACTCCTCATTCTACAAACCAACTCTTCCAACTTCCCCTGGGGAGAGAGATTTCATTCTGAAATCTTAGTTCCAGAAAGCAGATTTTAAGATAACAGAAATTGTACTCTTCTTATATCTCCCACCTCATTCATCTGAAAGTCACCATCTAAGCAATCTCACTACTTGGTCTACTCAAGAATCCAGTAACATGAATTTAAAAAAAAAAAAAGTTGTTTTAAAACAATATAGAGGAACTAACTGTTTCAAAGATCATAAACTTTACTTACATTGATTCCTCAGAGCCTGTTCATTCTTAGTTTAGACATGACTAATTATCCAGTTATTTGGATTCTAGCTAGGGTGGTAGACAGCATCATATTAAAAGTGAAGGAGCAAACTCACTGAGAACAGGAAGAAGGCAGAGCAAGCAGCTATCAGCGATAGAAATGACCAAAATATCATTTACTACAGATATTTTAAAAACCAGGGCAATATGGGGCTACTTAGTACAAGAGCTAAGTACACAAAATGCCATTATTACCTTGGCTCAGCAGAGGCCAGGAATCCTTGCTCAATTTTTCAAAGTAACTTTATCCTTATATTTGCTCATGCAATCTGCCACATAGGATTTCCTAGTTCAGCCAATAGACACTGCCTGCTTTAGAATGTCCTCCTTCTAACTGTTCATGGCTCTTACATCATCTTTTTTTAATACGTTGGATTTTTTTTAATCCTCACTGAGGATATTTTTTCCATTGATTTTCAGAGAGAGTGGAAGGGAGGGATGGGGGGGAAGGGAGGGAGGGAGAGAAGGAGGGAGGGAGGGAGAGAGAGAGAGAGAGAGAGATATCAAAGATGTGAAAGAGACACATCAATTGGTTGGCTTGCACATGCCCCAACGGGCCGAGGATAGAACCAACAACATAGGTATGGGCCATTGAAGGAATTGAAGCCACAGTCGCGGGCTGATGCTCTAACCACTGAGCAACCAGCCAAAATTTTTTTTTTTTTTTTAGAGAGGAAGGAAAAAGAAGAGATATAAATAAACATCAGAGAAACATCGATCGCATGCTCCCTACTGGGGATCCAGCCTGTGGAACAGGGCCACATGCCTTGATGGGATATCTAAACAGCCACCTCTTGATGCATGGGAAGACACTCAAACCAACAGCCACACAGGCCGGGCATGGCTCTTAATTCTTGGTCAGCATTCAGATTTATCCTTAATCTGCACTATGGTCTGACATCTTGGCTTTCCTCATGGTCCCTTCTAACTGACAACATACCCTATGGAATATATCTAGCCTAGAATTTAGCGACATTTCTGACCTTCCTGGATTCCTACCTGAGGGGTTTTCTTGGCAGACTTCTCACTCCTTGCCAGATGCCCAGCTTTGCAAATATAGCTTCCTAGAACAACTCTATTATTATTCTGCCTTTTGGTTATGACTGCCATGGCCTACCAAAGTAATACAGGGAATTACCATCTATTATTCTAACCCCCAAGTGGGTCTAGGGCAGCACACCATAATCAAACTCATTGATATTTCTGCAGCAGAAGATGAACATAGTCACATAAGGTGGGGTTAAAAAATGACTCTAAATAGCTTCATATCATTTCAGGTCATATTTTCCTGTCAAATGAGTTAAGAAAAAACTTTCAGAGAACTTTGAATTCTATTTAAGATTAAGAAATTTTCAACCAATGTATGTATGGTTTTGCTTTTTTTGCTTTTCATATTTCCTCCCCCCAAATTTAAAAATATTTTTTTGGGCCCTGACAAGTTTTGCTCAGTGGTTGAAGCTTGGGCCTGTGGACTAAAGGGTCCTGGGTTCGATTCCAGTCAAGGGTATGTACCTTGGGTGCAGGCTCCATCCCTGGCCTGGGTCAGGGTGCTTGTGGGGGGGCAACCAATCAGGAGGCAACCAATCGATGTGTCTCTCTCACATCAATGTTTCTGTCTCTGTCTCTCCCCCTCCCTTCCACGCTATCTAAAAAGCAATGGAAAAAATATCCTCAAGTGAAGATTAACAAAAAAAAAAATTGTTTTGGTGTTTCAATGGGTAATTTCAATTTTCTGTTATTTTTATTACATAAAGAATGTATTGAATAAATGAGGTATTATTTTGCATATATATGCACAAAAACATGCATATTTCAACATATAGAAACCTACAGGTGCAACAGAAGAGGATATAGATACATGCTATTGTATAACTGTTGTATATTGGTAATTAACCAATAGAGAAGCATTATCTGGGCAATAAATACAACTAAGTTATTGAGAAAGTACATATATAAGCCCTAGCTGGTTTGGCTCAGTGGATAGAATGTCAACCTGTGGATTGAAAGGTCCTGGGTTCGATTCCTGTCAAGGGCACATGCCCAGGTTGTGGGCTAGATCCCCAGTAGAGTGCATGCAGGAGGCAGCCAATCAATGATTCTTTCATCACTGATGTTTCTATCTCTTGCTCCCTCTCCTTTCCTCTCTGAAATCAATAAAAATATGTTTTAAAAAATGAAAAAGTACACACATAAAACATCTTATTTAGTGCAATTAGAACCATACCATGGTTTTAAGATTAAAAATAGTATATGCTGAGCTTTAAATATTTATAATTACCACTTCTTACAAGTTTTCCCTCTTTCCTGTTAAACAACTAGCTCCAATTTCTTAGGTTGGTGACATTAACATAGTGCTTTAATATGGCTATGTTATCCTTCTTTTCTAGAAATAATTATATTTTAAATTGTTACTACTTAAAAAAACACAAAAACAAAAAGCCCAAGCATGACTCAAGATACATGCTCCACTTTCTTTTTTTTTTTTTTTTTAAATATATTTTATTGATTTTCTACAGAGAGGAAGGGAGAGAGATAGAGAGTTAGAAACATCGATGAGAGAGGAACATCGATCAGCTGCCTCCTGCACATCTCCCACTGGGGATGTGCCCGCAACCCAGGTACATGCCCTTGAACGGAATCGAACCTGGGACCTTTCAGTCCGCAAGCCGACGCTCTATCCACTGAGCCAAACCGGTTTCGGCGATACATGCTCCACTTTCAATCGGCTGGATATCTTCTTAGAGAGTTCTAATTTCCCATTTGGGTCTTACTATAGATAAACATTTGATTTCATGTTCACAGTTACACTTCCAATACTTTTCTGTATGATCTTCTGAGAAACTGCTATATCACAGGATTCATGTAAAAAAATGTTTTGAGTAAAAGTAACTTACTGTTACTTGTGATATACACCATGAATGATATGTTAAAAAGAGTTTACTAAATGAAAAAAACTTTCCACACCAGGTCTAAATTAAAACTAACAATTATAAAGTTGTTAAAGAAACACAAAAATCCTTTTCTCTCTCTAGCCTTACCAAAAGGCTAACTTGTTAAAGTTAAAAACTTTATACTAATCAAATGTAACAGAAAAGCGATGCCCCTCTTCCATCATTACACATCTAGGATCCCGAAGCAATACAGTTTACCTGACATAATATGAAAAAGCAAGATTAAGAATTAAAACTGAACTTAACCTATTTCCTCCTACAAAAAAGATTTAGTGGGTACGACTTTAGAAGTCTAGTCCAGGGTGTGGCAAATTTTCTTTCTGTCAAGTACAGGAGAGGCTTCAGGCTTTGTGGGCCAGTCTCTATCACAGAAACAACACATAAACAGCCATAAAATCTACAAAAACTGGCAGCAGGGTGGATGTGACCCACACGCTGTTAATTGTTGACACCTGGTCTACTCCAAAGAATTTAAACACTAGAACTAGACAAGGGATTCAATTAAATGATGTTATAATGATGTTATGGTCATAAGGAAACCCCTCTAATGTGTGGAAATAATTATTGTGTGAAATGTTTGCTGTGTGAAGACCCCAATACTCTGGAACTTCCAAAATGTGGTGAACGCCCCACTATCTTGATGTGAATGCCCTAAGCCCTTAAGTGTAAACACCCTGCTCCTAGCAAAGGCACACGGTCTGGCCCACACTGATAAGACACAAGTTGTTTACTACAGGCTATGTAAGCACCAGATTTTCTTCAGTGGACGTCTCCTGCCAGATGAGAGGAGGACTCCACGTTGCTCCGCAAGACAAGCCCCTGATTGACTGCTCTGCTGCGTGAACCTGAACCAACCACCGCTGCCTGTCTGTCTCCGTCTTAATCGTCCGTCTTTCGGTGTGCATCGCCAGGTGGCCCTGCTGGGGCCTAGGACCCACTAGGAATAGGTAAATAAATCTTGTGTGACTGCATACTAATTGTCTTGTGTGTTCATGTGCTCCGGTTCGGCTCAGCTGTCTAGACACTGAAGTACCAGGGATAGGCCGTTATTGCTGATTCCTGGTCACCTGCGTTTGTCCCGCTAAGTCTAGACAGATAATTAATTAATTGGGACAAATGATATAAACACATCTTTACTAATTCCTTAGGTCTCAGTTAATTCATTTCTTAAATGAAGTTTAATAATAGTTTCTGCAGTCTCCTTAAAATGCAGAAGTGCTTTTTATACAGGAGAAGGATGGTCCTAATTCAAGGTCTGCTCAAACCCCTCAATATACTATGGATAATTAATGAAACACAAAAAACTCAATAAAGCTTTTTTTTAAAAAAATACATATGTCATTGAACCTTCTGCTTCTGAACGGTATTGTGGACCCCCCCCTTCCTCCCCTCCTTTTAACATCTTCTCTAGGCTGCACGTTTCTTAAGGGCGCGTAAAAGGCGCTGGATATCTGAATAATGTACCTGAAACAAAGTAGAATCATGACTTCTCCTGAAGGGACGCAAGTCATCTGACAACTACTTTCTGACC